GATCAGGAATAATCTGCTCAATGCGCCGGCGGCGGCGCCTCTGGTTTGGGCTTCCAAGCCTTCCATTGATTTAGGTTTATTTATTTATTTTTCTTATTTTTTTGTTTGTTTGTTCTCCCCTGCTTTTCTGTTCCAGTTTCGGGATAAAACAGTGAAAATAAAGGCTTGTTATTATAATCTATATACACCCAACTACCCAAGTCTTTATGCTTTGTGAATTGGACTCAAAGTGACAGAAAAGGTGGCCTCTACTTTTGTTTCCATCACTCTTTACAATTTGACACTTTACCTTCCCAACTCTTTATGTTTCCCAGTCTTGAACTTATGCTCTATATAAATCAAACTTCTTCTAATACCGAACTATCGAACCGTTAGAACCGTTCACTGGTCGGACCAGTAGTAGAACCGGTCGAATCGGTTTGTTTTAATATATAACTAGTACATAGCCCGTGCAATGCACGGGTGCACAATTTTAAGGTCATTTATCCAACTTTATAATTATATAAATGAATAAAGAAAAATGTACGGGATATATATGGTACGCGACCCGAGATATATTTATTTGTGGATTATTATACTATAAGATGCAATATTCAATAAAAGTTTTACAATACACGAAAATAAATATAAATAATGTAAATATCTAAATACATACCGATATGTAGAATAAATAAGCCAAGTTGCAAATATGAAAATATAATTAAAAAAAATCAAAAATATATTTCATTAAACATGTACAAAAATATTTAAATATCTACGCGAAAATAAAAGAAAAATTAAAATATACGTGCAATTTGAATTAAAACAAAAATTCAGATAATTGAGTTTTTATAATATATAACCTTTTATAATATACTAACTTTTTATATTATATGTATAATATATAACTTTTTATAATATACTAACTTTTTATATTATATGTATAATATATACTTTTTATATTTTCATCATTAATTTTATAATGTATAATAACATTTATTTAAATAAGAGTTCAACAATCACTAACCTAATTATATTTGACCATAATAATATAGATCATATTTTATTTTTTACCCACACCTAAACTTTATTATTTTATTTTATTTTATTTTTCAATTCTCAGATTTAGATATCCTATTTAAACTTATTTATGTGGTAA